TCAGCATATTAAGGGGGTACAGATGTTTAGGTTACGTATGTTGCCCTTGCCCCTCCTTCCCCCCAAGTCCAAGCTTCAAGGGTGTCTATCTCCCGGATGGTGCGCATCGCACTCTTTGTGTATGCATATACCCATCCCCTCCTACCCCCTCCCCCCTGCCCAACATCCAATAAATGTTATTCTTATATGTGCACTTATGTGTTGCATCTACTCCTTGACGCGACCCTTTATCTAAGTCTGGGAAGGTTGGGCAGCCGTCTTCTCTTTACATGGTGTGGTGAACACAGCAGAGCATCACTGCAGCAGATTCCATATGCATCTTCACCCTGGAAGGCTTAGCTGTCACCTCCCCAAGCACGCGCCCCTTGCGTTGTGCCTTATCTGCTTTGTGTTGGGTCCACGCTCTTAGTCACAGCAACTGTAAGCTTTAGAGTTGCATTTGACCGTCTCGTTCAAACATATGGCAAACACAACTGCCGCTGGAGCTGGAGGTGGGAATCCTCCCCATCCCTCAGACCCATCCTTGTTTGCCACAGCGGTGCTGTTCCACCAGACTTGCATTGTCACTCTTCATGTGACACATCACCCAAGTCCAGTCTCTACTCTGCGAAAGCTGTCTGAACAGAAGCCTGGCATTCTACCTCTCTCTGTCTCTTTTTTTTTTATTTTTATAAAATATGTAGCTCTTTACCTAGGGATGTCTAGATCTAGATATGAATCTTCCAAAATCTGTAGAGAATGAAGCGCCTGGACCTCAGGTGCTAACCAAGCCCCATCCTCTGCCCTGGACCACCCAGCTCAACACGGCCTGCGCTCCTCCCCATGTCCTCCTCCACGACTCAGTAAACATGCATAGACACATGGATACATAGATATAGATAGATAGGTAGGTAGGTAGGTAGGTAGATAGATAGCTATTGCTAAGCCACACAGTGTGTCGCAATTTGTCACAGTGGGAAAGGAAATGTATGAAAGAGGATTGCTGGTGTAAAATATACCCAAAAATCTGGAAGTGTTTTGGAATTAGATAAAAGGTAGAATTTGGAAGAATTTGAGAAGCGTAGTAGAAAAGCCTAGATTGTTTGAACTGCTGTTAGTAGAAATGTGGATGCCAAATGCTCTGCTGGGGGCAGGGACTCAGTAGGAAGCGAGGAGGTGGCAGAGGACAGCTGTGGTGTCAGGGAGCACTCAGTGCTGCATCAACAGACTGGTGGTGGAAATACGGCCGCTGAAGTTGTTCCTGGTCTAGTGGTGAGAGCTCATGCGGAATTAAGGGAAGCGTTCATGGAGTCTGGCTAAAAGGGCATCATAGTTACATGGTGGAAGGAAGCCAGGCTTTATTGTATGGTGCAGTTTTGTGGAAAGCAGAACCAGTAAGCCGTGAGCTTGGATATTTAGCTAAGCTTTCCAATCAAAGTACTGAACATGCAACCTGATTTATTCTTGCTACCTCAAGCAAATTGTTGCAAAGAAAGATATAAAGTGAGGAAGGAAGTGTTGAACAAATGAAAGCAGGGCCTGATACTTTTGAAATTAACAGCATATCCTGCCAATTACCTCCTTGTTCCCTCCTTCCCTGGAGACTCAAAGTAACCACCACCCCCACTGCCTTCCCTCCAGTTCCCTTCTCATCCAGGATGTGGGCCAGGCCTCCCACATGAGGGATGGACACATCAGAGGTCCCTGTCCTTTGCAGGGGGCAGGTGTCCACACCTCACACTGCTGTCTCTAGATGCGAACTGCTGATGCTCACTCACCTGGGGCACACACTGGAGAAGGGGGTACCGACCTAACACTCCTTAGCTCTGTGATTTTACCCCCAACCTCTGAGAGCCTCATTTCATTCCCTGTTCTGCAAAGATTACAGGTGCCCTCCCCACCGGTGATGAAGTTCAAATGATGAGCAGATGTGACATCTTAGCAAAGAGCTATAGACTTCATGGTGCTCACCAGGGTGAATTATCCCAGCAGACAAGGCCATAGCTAAATCGCTGTGCTATCCTGGCTGCCATTGTATGCACCCCTGTGTTTTTCCACAGAGTATCACCTTTACGCCGTTCTCGCAGGCACAGTGGGGCGCAGAAAGCAGGACAGCTACTCCCCTACCACCTGGCTCCTCTCTTGCTGGAGTCTGGAGGTAACACAAACAGGTGTCTGTGCTGACTCTGGCCTGGCTGTCCTTCCCAAACCCAGGACTGACACCCCTCACTGCATGTCCATTCCCTCCAATCAGTCACAGGAGGCAGCTATTGGCCCAGCACACTTTGTAAGGGGGTCAGGGATGAAGGTTGTGCATTTGCTAAAAATACTCCCAGGACACCTTCCTGTATCCTGTGAGCCATGGTGCATTTGGACTCAACTCTAATGTGTGATTTATGTGCACTGAAGTTTGAAAACCTGGAAATAACGATACTGAAAGGAGGAAAAGGGAGAACTGGATGTGCGGACTCAGAAGGATCCCCAAGTCGCCGCCCATCAGACAACTGCACTGTGGGACAGGTGAGATTTCCGACTCTCCTGCTGCGTGTCAGATTGCTCCCCTCTGCGCCAACATCAGACCTTTTGAACCTAAGATCAGTTTTTCTGAGAATTTACCATGCATGGCAGCTGGCCCTCAACATGCTCTTAGTGACCTCTGGCTCCTGGTGCTCGTGCCTTTGTACATAGTCAGCAGGGATCAGTCCTGTAATTCCCAGGATGTTGAGGAGATGAGCAAGCTTGATTTCTCATGCGAGGCCATAGTAGACTGTGTTCCTTGTGTCCTAAGTTCTCTGATCGCTGCTCCAGGAACGGCCAGTCGCCCTGTCAAGTGGACTCTCGGGTAGCCCCAGGGAGAGATGCGGGTGTCAAGGAACTGCATCCTCCTGCCACCCGCCTTGTGACCCAGAAAATGTGCAAGTCGTTTCTCCAGCCCCAGTTGAGCCTTCCCATGCCTGTACCCCCCTGAAATCCCGCTGTTACCTCCTGAGGAAATCCGAGCCTGAGCCACCCTGCCAAGCTGCTCAAAACCCCTGACACAGAGAAACTGTGGGTCATGCCTGACTGAAGTTTTAAGCTGCTACATTTTTCAGTATTAGGCATGAAGTAACAGACACTGGATACTTCCAGAGAGGAGAGTGGTGATGTGTGTGGGGAGGGCGGAGGCCTTGGTGTCTGCCTTTAGCGAAATGTGAAGGGACCTCGATGGAAGCCCACCCTCTACGATTCCAGTGGACTGTGTAATGCACCTGACCTTTCATTTTCATCCAGGAGACAAACGTTAACGTCCCACAGGAATTCTGCACATTTATTTTGTTTTATCAAGGTTCCTTGGGTAAATGGTTGAATACAAATTAATGGAAGGGTGCAATAGGCAACTCCTTCCAAATGCTGAGTTTTCAAAATTAAATTCCTCAAATTCAGGGGCCTGATCCTCTCGGCTGTTTTTGTTGTTCACCTGCGAGAATCTAACCAGGGTAGGATCACACGAGCAGTCACTCTTCAGTTCCCTTGAACACTGAGGGGCACCTGCGTGCACTCCTGTCCCTTTAAATAACAGACCGAGGTGGCATTGTACAAATAGCGCTGTCCATTGGAAATGAGGTGATTAAAAAAACAGCAGGTCCAAATTCTGTAGTGCTGATGACTGAAATGAACTTCTCAAACAAAACATAGAAGAGATGTTCATCTTTCATGACACCTCATGTGATGAATTTGATGGAGAATGTCTGAAAGAGGAGGACAGAGTAGCCCGGTCACACTCCTCAGGAAGGTAGCATTGGAAACCCTGCTAAAGTTGGGGCAGCACAGAGAGAGAAAGGGAGAGAGAGCCCCAGCTGTCAGGAAGTCCCAAACATATCATGAGTCCCCACATGAAGTCCAGGCAATTACGGCAAACTAATGAGGTTAATTTCACATCCTCCATGGCAAAACCTGTCCTCACCACTGGGGCATCTCCCTTCTTCCCCATCCCCCACCCACTCTCGTCCCCTGCTGTGCCCACAGTGGCCTTCCATGTTTCCCCTGAAGTAGCCCCATGTCTGGAATTCTGCTGCCTTGGACGACGCATTTCATAAATACTTTGGGAATGGATGGATGCATCCTCCACAGTCCCGTGAGAGCAGATGTCACACGTCTTTCAGGGTCCTGTGCCGCAGCTGTGCTGTCTCTTGCACGCACGGCGGCGGGTGACAAGGGAAAGAGCATCTGCAGCAGGAGGAGCAGCAGCAGGAGATGCCCAGTGCGGGCGAGAAACGGGAGGCCCAGGAAGGCGAGAAGCTCTGCCCTTCCCCAGCACCCACACTCTGTGGTGTCTGAACATTTGCACGTTCTATGCTATCTTCTAGAAGGTGCATCTCATGTAGACATAGCGTCTGCTGCATTTGTCTCTCAGTGCTCAGGCCTTTGCCCCCAGAGCCCTCCACACGCCCCCTCACTGCAGCCTCCTCACACTGGACGGCAACATGTTGCCCACGCGGCCTCTCCTAGTGACCCAGGAGTCCTCCCTGAAAAGGCTGTTTATTGCCATCAGTGTTTGGTATTTAGGACAGAGTATTTAGTTTTCAGTATCCAGGACAGAGCAGGGTGTGGCCTGCGGACGCTGTGGACTGACAGTGGCCAGGCTCTCAGGTAACTCCACTCCCGTGATTCCCACTGAGAGACTGCAGTGTGCACAGTGAGCAGCAGGTGGCGCTGTGCGTCTTCCAGGGTCTGCACAGGGGGCACTCAGAGCAGTGCCACCCCCCAAACTCCCCAGGGCTGGGGTACTAGGGCCTGACACAGATTCAGCAGCTGCATCTTCTCTGGGTGGGGTCCCAGCACCTGCCTCCTCCCAGGTCCTGCCTGCCAGACTCCCCCCTCCACCAGCCCACAGGTCCTGAGCAAGTGCATGGGGCAGGAAGGGGTGGGCAGTAGGGGGACACATTTGCATCCGTGGACCCTCCCCTGTGAGGCCAGTGGAGGGATAAGAGAGGCCTAGGACAGCCACTCCAGGGCTGGACCTCAGAAGGACTATGTCCACCATGGCCTGGGCCCCTCTCCTCCTCCTGTTCCTCTGCCACTTCTCAGGTAGGGACAGGCCCCCCGTGTCCTGGGGAAGCTCCCTGGCCTGAGTGAGGCCCCTCTGTCTCAGATCTCCCAGCAGCTCGACTTTTGCCGTGATTCGTCACCCACGGATATCTGTGTCTGCAGGTTCCCTGTCCCAGCCTGTGTTGATCCAGCCGCCCTCCCTCTCTGCATCTCCTGGAGCATCAGCCAGACTCACCTGCACCCTGAGCTGTGGCACTGTTGTTGGTGGCTATCACATATCCTGGTATCAGCAGAGGTCAGGGAGCCCTCCCCGCTATCTCCTGAGATACTACTCAGACTCAGATAAGCACCAGGGCTCCGGGGTCCCCAGCCTCTTCTCTGGCTCCAAAGATGCCTCGGCCAATGCGGGGATTCTGCACATCTCTGGGCTGCAGCCCGAGGACGAGGCTGACTATTACTGTAGTACGTGGCATGGCAACAGTGGCACTTACACAGTGCTCCAGAGCCAGGGGGAAGTGACACCGAAACCTCCCCTGTGCTCTCCCTGCCTGGTGCAGTCACTGCTGCCCGGCCTGGGGCAACATCAAGCTAAGGGTTGAATTCTGTTGCTACTTTTTCAGCCAGCACCTGATCTTCCTAGCAATTATGTATGTGAACATGTGAGGTTTTCAGTGTTAGTTAAAATGACTCGCCCTTATCACGTCTATAGTTGAGTAAATCAGTTCTTCGGGCTCAGTCCCCTCCAGGGAGATTGTGGACGAGGGAGGAGATGGTTGAGCCCACAATGCTGTCTGGTCCAATTTTGTGTGTTATAAAAGAATACAACAAATTGGGTTATTTATAAAGAATAAAAGTTCATTTGGCTCAGAGTTCTGCAGTCTTGGAAGTCTGAGTGCACGGTGCTGCCATCTGGTGCTGGCTTCCTGTCACAGTTCCCCGTGGTGAATGGACAATGCAGAGAGTGACAAGGACACAGTAAGTCAGGTGGAGCCTCACAGCCTTTCAGGATCCTACTCCTGCAGTAACCATCCCCCTGCAACAATAAGGCGCCCATCCATTCGTGAAGGCAGAGCCCTAGATATTCGATCACCTTTAAAGGCCCCACCTCTTGGTACTATTACACTGACAATTCAGCTTCACCATGAGTTTTGGAGGGGGCATTCAAACCACAGCATGTGCCCAGCCCAGGCTGTAGGTCTGGCTCAGAGACACGCAGGGACAGAGAGCCTCCATTTGGCCACTGGGTCCAGCACCCCAAGCCCGACTCCACTCACCAGCTCCAGGAGTGAGGTCACCTCCCCCTGCTACTGCTCATCCCAGCCCGGCTCTGGGAGCTGCTCCTCCCTCCTGAGGCTCAGAGGAAGCAGGTGTCTTCAGCTCCAGGGGTGTTGGGCAAACAGTCTCTTCATCAGTGAGATGTGACCACATCTGTGACCTGTCAGTGTGCACAGGACACCCAGCGTCCGTCTTCCTCCCTGTCTGAGTCAAGTCCTGTACTAACCACCCTCCACTGCATCCCAAGGTCATCTGCTGCTCATGCTGAGAATTCAGTGTGGTGGGGACACCCAGGGGTTAACGATATGGAAATAAAGAAGATCCAATCCCTAGAAATCACTGAAGAAGGATCAGAGTTACCTAGGAGAGCTGTGTTTCCACTTCAGTTTCAGGAAGTCACTCTGGGGACACCTGCTCTGGCCTGGCCTCTCCTCCTCATGCTCCTCTCTGCACAGGGGGCAGACTGAAGGCATGTTGGAAACGGCTCAGCAGGAGCAACTTCGCTGTCCCTCTGTCATCCTCCAGCACAGGGTGGGGCTTCTGCTCTGGTTTCAAATAATAATGATTGTCAGCAAGAGTCTGTGGGTGACTCTAACGTCCCTCTCAGGGTGGCCTGACCTGGGCTAGCCTGGACTGTCCTCTGTTCCTCCCACAGTGACCCAACTCCCCCCAAGTCCCCAGGTTTCCTGAGCACCGATCCTGGGCTTGGCTTCTCATCTCCCCTGAGCAGCTGCAGATTTTTCCTCCTGTCATCCCTCCGTGCACAGCCCCTCAGCCACTGATTTCATTAAACACGGGGACCTGGGGACACTTCTCCCAAGGCACAGCCTGAACCCCACCCGCTGTCCTGGTCCAGCCACCTCTGCTCCTCACTGGGCTCACGAGAGGCAGAGGAGCTGTGAGCCCCGCTGAGCCCTTCCTTGGAAATGTCGCCGGTGAAGCTGGATTGGCACCAACAGCACAGCACCTGCGGTGTTTGCATTTGCACGTATTGCTCCATGAGGACAATTGTCCCTCCTCAGTATGGACTTTTTGGAGCTTGGACCAGCTCTGCTCATCTGGGGAGAGGAGACTGACCCTTGTGCTAGTGGAGTTCTTGCTTGGCTGAGATGGTCACTGACGCGTGGTGATGGGCTCTGCTGAGCACCACGGAAGTCCTGGACCCTCAGGTGTGCTGCGAATGTTGGGTAGAGATCAGATGCGGAGTCTTTGGTCCTCAGAACTATTGATTTTATTCAGAAAATATGGCCGTACAGAGGTTCATATTGTCTCTTGTTGTATGAAACATGTGAAGGCAACAGACAGAGCCAGCACCGACCCAGGTGCAGGGTCACCTGTCATGCACGAGGGAGCCTTGCCCTGCCAGAGCTTGTAGCCTGCGTGTTTGTAACCATTTATCTGGAAAATTCTCTGAGAGGAAGAAGGACCAGAAGTGACTGATTCTGCCTCAGACCTAAGGTTACGGTCAGCTCTAACATTTGGCGTTTGCTGTCGGGAAGCTCAACGGCCACTTTATAGAAGAACCAGCAGGCACGGCTGATGGAGGCTGCCTGGTTGTCTGAGACTCTGTGTCCCTCCT